ATGCCTTCCCCACCTCCCCCAAAGTCTGGTCTCCAGCATGACCATCCCTTCAGAGGGTTCGCATATCACTCGCTATGTATGTATATTACCTGCCCCCCGCCCCCCCCTCCCCAATACCCTATACTGTAGACCTATGTGCCACTTAGCGTGCTACTCAGTTAATACCAGCTTTGCTGGAGAATATATCTGGTGCTTGTTTTTCCATCTTGGGATACGTACTTATAATATGGGTTCCAGCTCTAACCAGGAAAATATAAGATGTGCTATATCAATTGTTCTTAGAGCTGAATATACTCCATGTATACATATACCACATTTTATTAATCCATTCTTGAATTGATGGCACTGGCTGTTTCCACAGCCTGCAATTATTGAATTGTGCTGCTATAAAACATTCGATGTTGCAGGTTGTCTTTTGTGAGAGTGTCAATTGGATCATTCGGGTAGATGCCCAGTAATGGATTGCTGGATCCAAATGGTGGATTCACGTATCGCATTAATATGATGGTGGATTCACTTGTATCGCATTAAGGTATCTCCATATGTTTGTGTTCCACAGAGTGAGACTAGTTTGCAGTCCACAGCAGTGTAGGAGAGTTCTCTCTGCTCTCCACATCACGCAGCATTTGTTTGATTGGAGACTTTTTGGATAAGCGGGCTTCTCATGGAGTTAAGTGGGATATGCTCATTTTTTTGTTGCATTCCCTGATGATAGAGATCTTGAGCATTTGTCTTCATATGTTTGTTGGCCATTCTTCTGTCTTCTTTAGAAAAGGTTCTGTTCAGTCTTGCCATTTTGAATAGGTTATTTGATTTTCTTGCCTGTATTTTCGTGATGTCTAAGTCATTCTAGTTATCACGCCCTTTATGGGATAACGGTAGGAGCAAAATTTTCTCCGCATTCTTGTAGAGTGTCTGTTCACTTTCATGACTGTTTTTTGGCGTGTGCAGAAGCTTTGTGGTTTCATCATGTTTCCATGTATTCTGATTTTGTGTGCGCTTTGATTGCCGTTTGGGGATTCTTCAGTAACTCTTTGCCGGTAGGCCATGTCTAGGAGGAGTCTTTCCAACATTTCCTCTAGAATTCTAATGGTTTCATACCTGAGATTTAAGTCTGTGACGTCCAGCGTGAGTGATTTTTGTGAGAGGTGAAGGTGGGCCGTTTAACCTTCTACAAGTGGCATCCAGTGTTCCCAGCACCATTTATTGAAACAGGATTCTTTTCCCCAGCGTATGTTTTGCTGCTTGTCAAGATTAGAGTGGCTATTATGAGGAGTTTTATATCAGGATTCTCACATCTGTTCCACTGGTCAAAAGCCTATTGTGCCAATACCAGATTTTTTTAATACAACAAGCTTTGTAGTATAGTCTGATATCTGAATTAATAACTCCCAATTTGTTTTTGTTGCCTAGAATGCTCTGATATTCGGTCTTCTGGGTTCCATTACAAAGCGTAAATTATTTTTTCTATATCTGTGAAGAATGCTGATGGATTTTAATAGGTATGCATGAATTCTGTAGATCAGTTTGGGTCAGTATAGACAATTTTAATGATGTGAGTCTGCCGATCCACGAGCAAGGAATGGATTTCCATCGGTTTACATCCTCTGC